AATTCTGGATCAGCCCCGATCTTCCATATCGGCCCGGGACTAACAGAGTCTTTGATCACCTGGCAACCAGTGGGTGATGTTGTGTGATTGACCGATCCAGCACCAGAGCCTCTTTCAGTCCAAACTAGGAACCACAGAGCCCCTGTTCATATAAACACAGCACAGTGAGCACAGCATGACAACAGACGCGTTACAGACGTCCTCAAAGTGAAAAATGCGCAATACACAAAGCAAGAATTTTGGTAGCCACGTTACGAACAAAACAAGTAAATTCAATAATCAAGGGAGCCCTTTTTGACAAACTAGAGCTGTACTGTAATTTTACGCCTACAGTTGCTTGGTTTGACTGGTTTGCCATTCTGGGATACAATGCAGACAAAATGGCGGCAATGTCAACCTATAAACTCAAAAGGTAAAACGCACCTTCATTTATACACAGAGGTGCAAGGAAGACACACAAACAAGCACTTTAAAGCAGGAACGAGACAGAATTGCATTTGAAAGACAGTCATGTGAAGCCAGAGGACTCAGTGCTTAAACCCCCATTCATGCAAAACACAGACCCCCACCACCAGCAAAGGTGACATCACTAGTAGCAGAGTCCGACAAACAGCAGAAATAATTCTAATGTCATTTCAATAATGACTATTTCATTTAGAAGAGTGGATACAGAGAAGAGTTCCCAGCACTTAAGGCTAAGTGAAGAAGGAAATGGAACGAGGCTGTAATCCCCCCCCAGCCCCAAAACAGTGGGTGAGGCCCACAGCTCCTCAGATCTAAACGCATTTCTCAGGCCCGTTCTAATCCGATATGCGGTTCATCCAATTACACCTTCAGCTGGCGAGTCGAGCCTCGCGCTTTCTGAGGTATAATCGAATGAGCAGCGCGTGAGCCCAGGCTGGATGAGAACAGAGCGGACAGATAAGCCATCTCCGCGTGAAAAGCTATCCCCCCCGAGACACGTTCCCCGACAGGACGAAGTGCACAGATATCATTACCGTAGCGTAACATTATCTTTAGTGCAATAACGGAGGAACCTGGGCTGGGGGAGTGGAGTCGGAGGGCCGGAGCCTGCGCTGCCTGATCCGTCTCCTCACCTCCACTTTAGCAGTCGCCACCCAGCAGGAAATTCAGGGACGGGAAACCCACCATGGCACTAATAAGCCTTTAAGCTGGGGTGAGAACCTGCACAAGCAGCCATACAACAAGCGCTAACACGCCCCCCCCCCCGGTCCGCTTACACAGACTGAAAAACCATATAAGATCGTCCATTTCTTTACCCTCTAGCAATGCTCGAAATCTGTGTTTTTGCAGGAAGAAACTGGAATGGCCGTTGTTGAACCGTAAAAGCACAGGGAGAATGTGCAAACTCCAGGACAACAAATGAGCACGAACCACCGGAAGCTCAAGGCCAGAGAGGTGAAACAGGAGAAGGAAAATGGCTACATCCATCTTTGTCTACCTCTTTGCTACGGCTTAGAGTGCAAGTGTAGTCACAGGTCACCTCTAAGTACGTCTGCGAACTTACAATTGAATAAAACTCCATATGAACTCGTATGAGTGATTTCAACTGCATGCAAAGAGCTGCTCGCAAGCTGAGGTTCGCGTGCACCGGCGCCCTCTTCGCCGGGGTCTGCATACGGAGCTCTGTACTGCTCAGTGCAAAGCTAACACAATGCCGCTAAGGATTGTGGGGCTCGAGCAGCAGCCAGGAACCGTGAACAGCAGGTACAGATACGCCGTGCACGTCAGCAGAATCATCTCACGCTGGCTGAAGGAAAACAAGGAGAGACTCAGCGCTGAACATCCAAGAAGACCATGCAATTCAAAAACTCTCCTTAAAAAGGCAATGCGAGTTAACAGAGGGTTCATGTCAGGAGAAGGAACTCCAGTTAATTATCTTTCGGACGCATATCTTAAAAATAAAATGCTGAGTGAATCCTCCTTCCTCAACATGGATTATAGGATGAAAGAGCACACAAAAACACAAGTACTCGTCTAGCCAGATACAGGACCTTCCTTAACATTTGGGTTAGAATAATTTCATTAGACTCTACTGACACTCCTGCAGCTTGAGAGAATGATACTGGAACTGCAAGCAGAGTCATAAAAAAGTGAAAAGCAGCAGTCTGCCAAAACTGACATTAATGTGCAAGTAAGAACCACACTTTTAGTACAGAATGTGCTGTGGGGTCCTCAGCCTGTATTTGGGGAGAAAAAGATTTCCAGCTTATTCTGGTTCTCCTTCTTCCAACTTGGACATGCACGCAGATCAAATATTAAAATTATCACGTATCGTAAAAATTTACCTGCATAACTGCCACCCTGCATTAGATAAGCAGATATGGGAGATGAATGGATGACCAAAAAAATCTTACTTGCTGGTATTATCTAGGGTTGCAAAATTTTGGCAATTTTCCAGTTAATTCCCATATATTCCCACTAATTCCCATGGAAAGTTTCCAACTTGGAATATTTCCAAAATTCCCCAGCTAAACTTCCCATGAAATGGAAAGTTTCTGGAAACTTTCCACCCCTTTACAACCCTAGCATTATCATCCATTAACTGGTTATGCTGTAAAGGGTCACAAGGGGCGATGGAGCCAATCCAAGACAGAATAAGACAGGAGTGCGCTGTGGGCGGGACACAACCACACACACTATTATACTCTATGGGTAATTCAGGGACACAAATTCACCTAACAGCCCGTCGCTGGACTGGCAGAGGAAACCGCAGACCCGGAGGAAGCCCATACACACGGAAAGAACATGCAAACTCCATACAAGGCAGGTGCAAGACGGAACTTCCCAATGTGAGGTTCCCCACAGTGCCAACATGCCACCGTCTTAGTATTACAACATAATTAAATGTTAACTAATTAGCATGATTGACTATCCATTACATTTCAAACATTCTCAGACAATTTAGTTAATACTGCACAGTATAATCAAAGCATAGACTGGATACAATAGAACACCCATGCAAAATCGGTTACTATTAAAAGCATCTAACATAGTTTGACAGATTTGTATTTGTTTGGCTCTCATCCTCTATTAATATTTTTAGCCCTTTTGTTGTACTCGCGCACCCTATTTATCTGAACTACAGAGTACATGATGCGGTTGGTATAGTGAAGTATAATTACTGTAATTTCAGCAATTATATATTTCAGCAATTATAATTGTATACGCCATAAAATTAGAAGTTTCTTTTAGAACCTCGTTAATTCATACCCCTTCTAAGAGGATTTTCCAGCATTCCAATGAGAAAACAATTAAATGCATAACTGAGAAACGGATTTCAATTTCCAGTTACGCTAGCAGCTAATTTTAATTACTTCTGCACAACCCTGTCGCTTCAGCCATCCTTGCTTATAAAGAGGCACAGTTCACATCAATATCAGACAGAGAGGAAAAAGCAGCACGAGTAAGAATATTCGGAGACGCTTCCGTTATTAGAGAGTTCAACAAAACATGATCAATGAGAAATAAGGTCCAGCCACAGATCAGCATACTATGAACTGCAATTCTTCACCATTATCTTTTTTTCCAGGTTTTAAAGGGATTGATATTAAGCTGATTAGCACGACAGTGTCCAGGTGAGAGAACTGACTTGAGAATCATTTATGTATAATAAAGGAGTGTGACCGGCTTACAGTAGTATACAGAGCAGAGGAACATTTTCCTGATACATAACAAAAGCCGCAATATAAAGTAGCAGAAGGCTTTCAACCAGCAGCCAGTGAAAAGAGTAGCATAAATTTGGTATAAATGAAGAAAAAAAACAGTTTTACTGGATTTTAAGTTTATATAAAAATATTAGAATTCAAACAAAGTGATAACAGCAAAAACATTTATTTATCTACAGGAATATATAAAGCATTTTGGGATTTTAAACACAGACAGTAAAGAGTGCAAATTTCTGTTGAATGTTTTGTCGCACAGCCCAAAGACAGGGTCCTCTGGTGACTGGAAACTGGGCTTTAGTCTCTGACGTCTGAATGAACAGGTACACAGATCCGTCTGAGCGTGTTTGTCAGCAATGCAGAGCAGACATGCGTTCTGTCCGGGAATAAATGGGTCGTTTTCTCAGAACTTCTTTGGATTCGAGCCACGTCACCAAAAACACGTACAGCACTGGATAAGCAGTCATTAAAAATGGATGGACCCCAAAAGAACAACTCAAGAAAAACAGAAATGACTGCGTCATATATAGACAAAGCTGTCTTATGCTTACACCTGATTATTTATGAGCTATAGAGTTATGGATGCTGTACAAGCGCAACCGAAATATCAAAGCAGCCTGTCAGCATACAATGCTCATTAATCGACATCCCCTGACATCACACCAGCAACAACCAGCTTGTCTTGGTTAAAATAGAAAAAGTAAATTAAATGATTACTTCCAATTATTTCTCTAAGTCTCCATGCAATACTCACTTTGTAGCTAATTAAGCACCGAGACAAACCAAAATAAAGCGCACAAAAAAAAACAATCTGCTTTGGATCAATTTAAATTATTAATGCAACTGAACACAATAAAAATAAAAAATGTTTTACCAGTAGCCAAAAAGTAATCAGAGAAAGATTGATCATGTAATTATCTGACTCAAATGAATCTCATGAGACTTTATAAGAAAGGAATTTGATATTATAAAGTGTTACAGAGCAAATTCCTACACCAAAAATAGTTATCTGCTTCAATGGTTGTGAAAGCCCTCATTAGGGACCCCCAGCCAGTCCGCATACGTATGTGACCCCCCAGGATACCTCGCTAATAAAGAGCTTGGAGCCACGTAACCGGACATGCAGACAGTGCAGAAACCAGAAGCTCGGCATTTCCAGGCAGCTATTGTTACTGCACGAAGTTAGGATTTTAAAAAAGATCCAAAAGTCTACTTCATAAAATTAACTCACTTTGAAACAGAAGTGATCAGAAATGCACTGACAAACTAAAGAGTGCGCGAAAAGCAAGGAAATGGAAATTGGCATTAATTTACCGAGGAGAGCCTGGAAGAGGTTGCTCTGAAAAACGCCGATGACCCTCTCGATGGACTGGCGGAGCTGCTGGTCCGTGGTGCGGCTCAACTTCGCGCGGTACTCCTCCAGGAGCAGCAGCGCGCGCTGGGTGTCTGCACGGGAGCACAGCAAACTGCTCACGTTCCAGAAGACAGTCTGCATAGGCTTATAATACACAGGTCAACGCCAACTGCTGACACTCCAAAAGTCAGTTTAGATCATGTCATTATGCACTGGTCAAGGCGAAATGCTGTTACTCAACCAATTTCATTTTGACACTCTGAGGTGCAGGTATTTCGTGCAACAGATGCAAGTTTCAACGTCATCCGCTGTCAAACTGTAATTTATTGAAACTTCAACGATATTCATGGACTTTATAATAAATAAATGTTATTCAGTTGTTCATTCACATCATGCCCACTCGTGGTCAGGCGTATTTCGCTCCGTAGTGACCTTAAGGCTACACAAAGTAACATTTCCAGTGGACGTGGCAAAACAAAAATATTAAATACTAAACAAGAGAAAAGTTAAACTCACCCTTCTTCCTAACCGGCATCTTCAGGTTCCAAATGTCAAAAAAAAATCAAGCAGCGCTTTAGTTCAGCAAGGTTTCAGGTCACAGCCTCCGGCTGGAGCTGTAGACCACCATGAACCCCGTAAATCTCTCCCTATCTTTGCTGTAAGTACACCGTTACTGGGAAAAAGGATCCCTAGGACTCTCCGATGCGGTGATCAGACCCAAGACTGCCGTCTCGATCGTCTTCAGAACCGGCTAGACAGGGTCTGACTTTGTATCCGATAGGAGGCTGAAGCTGGCATCAGATCCCCGCTGTCACACACACTGGCTGTCAAACTCAGCTAATCTACCTGCGTGCACTTCCTGGGAACGAAGCACGCCTACAATCCTCTACTCAGTGTCTTCCCCAAGTTTGCCTTTATTTATGCAGCCACCCCAATTACCGCAAATTAAGTTAAAGAAGGAAAAAAAACATGCATACAATTTCCTCATTGCCTGGGATATGCAATATTAAATCTGTGCATCCAAAGCGTGTTGGATGGGAATTTTCCAGCCCCTTTCCTTTTCGCCCGCGCTAAATATTTTTTTCACTTGAAACAGAAAACTTCTCTCACTTTCCCCGCCTCTTTTTTAACTAATGCAGCTTAAATTCCCAACTTTCCTGCAAAATGGCGCCGCAGACCCGGAAACACTGTGGCGTGATCGAGCCCGGTCGCCCTGTAAGTCAGTATTAAAAGGTGCTACTTGGAAAGTTTGCGAAGTGAGTACGGCGATCGCTCCGTGCTTAAGCGATGCATGCTCGGTTTACACTGTCATTTTGCAGATGCACAGCCACCTGGTAAGGAAATGTTAATAAAAAAGCGTCCGATCAATTCCAATCAGCTCACTTAGGGAAACCTCTTATATAACCATAAATCCGTAAAACGCGAATTAGAGGTACTTCAATTTAACTCGCTCATGACATCAGATGTACGATTCTTATTTTAAATTAAAAATATTTTTTTTTTCTGTGACAATTCAAATTTTGTTAAGACTAATATATCCGGTGCCCAGTTCTTGTGAAATTTTGTTCTGTCAAACGCATTCTTTTCGTGTCCTTATGGGAAAGGTGCGGTTTTTATTTCAGATGTCCGTCTAACGACTACTAGAGGGCCATAGTGAGTCTGAAGCAGGAAACACGGGGCATGATGCAGAGATACCATGCAGTCCGCTACAGACTGTACACACACTCACACTGAGCTGGGGGGTGATTCCTACCCGAAACCTTGGAGATGGGCGTGTTACCTACGCAGCCTACACTGCCCTACAGGCAGCTACATCACAGCCATATTATTCTCTTGTGTAAGTAGCAGTAAATAAATATTTTTGCAAAGCCTAATCTGTGTTTGGACAACTTTTATTGATGTTCATACTATATGGAAGGACTGTTATTTTTGTGTTTGCAGCTGACCTTTGCAGGCTATTGTTAGGATTAGGTTTTGTGACTGTCATCGTTTTTCTGTTTATAACTTAATTGTATCAGGTTTTATGTTAAATGCAAGCTACATATATTACTCCTAAATAATCTCAGCATTAAATCCATTCACACAATTAGCAGAACTCCCTAATTTGGCTAAACCTAATGTCTTTACTGTGGGAAGGTTTAGCAATACCTGAAATGCATGGAGAACTTGCCGTCCGCACAGTCCGTTGGGTCTGAGACCACAGTGCTACCTACTGACACTCCATCCCACCCCCAAACCAGTTTATTGCCTCTTAAAAGCTTCCTTGTTTGTGTGAATGGGTATTCCTTCCTCATTTCTGTGACAATGGAAGCAGGATGGAATAAGATTTTTGTATGTATCTTATCTCACTGAATACATCTCATGCAGTGATTTCATCAGAGCCACACTGAAAAATGATTAGAACCTAAATTATACATTATAAATGTATATAATCTATAAATGTAAATCATCCAAAATGATTTTAACCACTTTGTGAACAATGCATTCTTTTCTCCTAACGGAATTCCTGGCCTTCACTTTCCAAAGCCTACACTGCAAGCTTTTACACAAAAATCTTTCGTTTAAAGGCCACGTTAGTTGGGTTTAGTTTCCCTGCTGTTCGTAGACAGACATCTTCAGGCGCATCTCGCTGATTAACTAAGAATTAGTGACAATTAACTCAGTAATTGAGAAGCCCATCACAATAGGATAATTGTTAAACTTGCAGTGCAAAATAGAGGCTCCATTGACAGCTTATACTCGTTGCAAAAAAAATAAAAAATCCAAGCTCTATTTATAACAATGAGTGTATGAGAAATAGGCGTGTATTACTGGGCATTAGTATCATGACAATTAAATCTAAGGACACTGACAATGGATTTGTCAGCACTAATCTGTCAAGACAAAGGTCTTGATAGAACATGAATTATCTTCGACCAAGAACTTCCACCATAACGTCACAGTGCATCTTCATGAGACCCCAGAAGAGCAGTTTTTTTCAACAACAAGAGTGCTACAGCCTGGGCTGACCACACATGATGTCTGCTGGGACACTGGTTGTTCTCAGCTGAAAAAGAAGCTTTGTCAGTGGAATGCATCCAGGGATAGAGGAAGGACACCAGTCACTGGTTCTGACTGTCAAGCGCGGCCGGACCCGGGGAGTGGCAGTCCGTGCCTAGCACAGAAAACAGGGCTGCCTTTCACGCAACACTTGATTGACAGGCAAGCAGGAAGTGAATGGGATTTCGATCGTTAATATATTTTCAGGCTCTGGGCATAGGCCAGCAGAAGAGTGTCAGGCGCTCCTGCTGAGAGTTCCCATTACTTTCCATCATGAAACGACTGGGAGATACCAAAACATATTTCACCACCAGAATCTCCAGTCAGCTCTGAGGCACGTTTTACAACATTTTCCCATTTTCCCACGACCTCTGAAAATCAGCTCAGTGGTTTTAGCAAGCCTGGTCCTGTCCGACACTCTGTGTGCGCTCTTTGGTTTCGTTTGTGCCATGGTAGTGCTCAGGGCAGCGCAGGGTTTGGATTCCAATGAAATTCACAGGCACCCACACACCCATGACACATGTGGCTGCAGAGGGAGGCGGTCAAACCAGTCAGAACCAGAAACCTCAATGTTCCCAACTTCTCTACATACATCTTACAACATCTATACATCTTTGTCAGGAGTTTTATAAGAACTTTTTCACCAAAAACAATGTAGCTTAATTCTTGTATTTCACTGTCATTGTCTTTGAGGAAAACAGTCTCTTTTAGTTTCTAATCCTGCTTCTACTTGAAAAGAAAAAGCTTTAATGTTTTGCTGACTTCAGCACCACCTTGGCATGTAAAATTTTATTGTGGTTAAAGATGAGAAAGGCGGTTCCAGCTGAATTCCAAATGATCTGCAATAAGAGCTACCGCCTTAGAAAAGCCATGTGAAATGTGACACATAACTGCCTCTGTGAACATAAGCCTGTCGCTTAACATTGGAGTCACTTTTATAAAGACGATAAAACATGCTTACACAAGATGTTTACATGTGCACTTTGGCGCCCTCGAGATCATTTAATTTAAATGTTGCATGTCAGACATTTTTACAAAGGCCTTTTTTATTTCGCAAAACTGGCTGTGAATTCCTGCCCAGCTGAGACGCCAGTTATATACCGCCACTATTTACACGTGCAGTTGTATCTGATAGCCAGCTCCTTCTAAAAAAGCAACACAGTGTCAAATATGAACAAAATGTCAATATTTGGGCAATAGAGGCTTGTGAAGTTCTATAAACATGTGGATTTTCCACTGAACACGTACTAGTGTGGGAGACGTCAGATGGAGGCGTTGCGGAGTTTCTCTCACTAACCGCCGACAAACAGGTAGCCACACAGCATTGTCTTTTTGTGTATTCATTCAATTCAGCATTTTAGGTGAATTACTTTTTTCATTGTTACAGTGTAACACAGTAGTTCTGGTAATAATGCAACTCTTTAGACGAAGTCTAGTTACTTAAGCTGCTGCACAATTATAAAAAGCATTTATAAATCCTGCTCCTGTTTTGTTTCTCAGATAGAAGAAAATTCGAATGCACATTGTTCACAGCTCCCAAGACCCTGACCAGGATAAATGGATGGGTAGATGGATTGCCTGAAAGCTCACCCCACACTGCATATAAACACACTGCATGTAAACACACTGCATGTAAACACACTGCATGGATATGTGATGTGCAGGATAAGAGCCAGGCCTGGATTAGGAGCTCCGGGGACTGTGAGCCTGGGGTGACCAGATAATCCACGTCAGGGAGGACACTTTGAGCTACTTCAGGTTTTACAAACTTCAAAACTGAAAGGTTCCTGTGCTTGGCTAAATAGTTATTCTTCTGCTTTTATTGGCTTTTTTCCTTGATTGAAAGACTCATCCAGCTGTTTCACATTAACATTAGTGACACATGCATGATTATAGGAGACTGACCAATCAGCACACAGCAAGAACTCAGTGCTTAAGTGCAATCCGGGTGATTTTAATTGAAATGGTCATTTACAAATCCTGTCCTAGCTCATAGTGTCCTTGCTACTAAGGCTGGAAATGAGCCACAGACTTTGTGTCCTCAGACCATCTGCAGGGTCTCTGCTATCTGCTGCCCTCAGTCAGCTGGCGCAGTAGAATGTAAAACATCCCTAACATGCAGATCAAGAGCAAGTGGGTCCATCAACGCAGTCAGAAGTGAAGACTGCATACAACTCAGCTTCATCCAGAGCCGTCAGCTGCAAACTACATTTTTCATTGGCTAAAATCTTGGGTCCATCAGAAAGACGGTCCAATGCGGAACAGACCTTTGACATTATGCCGGTCTGCTGTAAGGCTGTAGCTGGGGCAGGCTTAAAGTCTACAGCGCTGAGAGGCGTTACGTGATAACATTCCCAGCTCGCCCATCTTACCACCTAACTGGTCATCAGAGGTTTTACGTCAGAAATGGATAACATGTACCAATTCAGCTTCTCAAACTGAGGATACACAGGACTGAAACGATGATGCATGATGGGTGAAGGTATGAGCAGGTGTCACAGGGTTGGTCTCCCTGTGATCCCATCGATAAGACTGATTTCACAAGGCTGTGTTAGGTCTGTGTTAGGTCTGCACCGTAAAGTGGTCATGCTGTGAGGGAGACCAGCACAAACTCACATTCAATATCAGAATTAAATATTACAGCACATGCATCATGCTTTCTGAGTTGCAACAAGTTCTAATAAAAGTATATTTATTCATTGACTTTTTCCATATTTTTTCCACCAGTTTCACCACTGCAACATCTGTTTTTCTTCTTTTAAAAAGATGTTAATGACATATTGGCTGAACCTGTCCTACACAGTCAAACCTAAACTGATATAAACATACAGCAGAAGCAGATATATAAAGTGAATAGATGGATAGATATGATGTAGCTATATTGTGACTTTATATTGCAGCTATTATGATTAATATTCAGCTAAGGAGGCCTTAGCTTGGGGTTTGCCGAAACCAAACAACTACAGCATTTTTAACTCAGTTATTTGCGGTACAGGAACATCCATCGGCGTTTCTCACATTTGTCAGCTGAGAGCAACTGGTCAGCATTAGAATCTCGTCTTGGGACGTCACCTGGCCAGACCTCTCCAATGCAGTCTTTCTGTGGGAAAAAGCGCTCACCTTCATATCGAACCCCATACACTTTTACTGCAGTGCCCTGCTGTTAGAAGGAAATCCTATTACATATTTTGACAAGCTACAGGAAATCCTGAAAACAGTGCAGGGTCTCCTTCACAGGAAACAATAACTTCACTTTGATTGACTAACTCGTCTCCAAAAT